GATTTTAACTTTTGCCCTTCAAACCTCCATACCAGGGACGCCGTATGAGACTGATAATTCAGGAAAGGTCCTCCAGTCTTACGGGATCGGTGGTACGCGTGGGACAAGTGAAAGAGTAGGTGTACGAACAGAAAGCGCATTTTTGTGTTGGGTGTTGCTGAAAAAAGTGAAAACTAAGGGAAGTCTCGGCTGACTTCGATGGGCAGCGGAAAATTAATTAAATTGCTATTCAGTACCATAAAAATTAAGTAAACAAAATATAACGTCTGTCCAATAATGACGCCGAAGCCAGAGATCAGGGTGACAAATTGGCCAATGAAAATACAAGGTCGTAAGCAAACGAGAACCCCAAAGGCGTACAGCAAGTTCAACGACTAAACTGCTCCACGAAATGCAGGAATATAGAGAAAAAACATTCAGATTTCCTAGTTATCCAGCTAAGGTAAGTAAAACCAAGGAAAGTGGTAAGCCCAAGCGAAATAGCATAATAGCTGATATGCATGTTAAATTAACGGCAGCCAGTGTCAAGTGTGCGAATAACTGTTTGTTTAGAAAGGCAGACATGTCGCCGTGGTATAAAATTTGTAAACATTTTTTAATGTTCCGGAATGCTATATCCAAGCCCATAAGTGCTATAAGAAGGCGTGCTCAAATGAATGGGCCATCGAGGATTAGCAGCATTAAGAAAGCAATCGAAATGCCTAACGTGATACACTATTTTCACGAAAAAGGGCTTTTCCCAACATACCGGACCTGTGCATGCCGCAAGCCAATGAGGCTCCATAGGAGAAGTATGTGCGCGGCCGGCATTGGTTTTCAGTACACCGACGAAATCAGTGCGAACTGGCTCCGTGTTTGAGGGCAACCGAGAAACCATACCAAAGATGATGATAATAATGCTAGCCTTTGTGACTGGAGACAGACGGAAGACGTTTAAGCAAGATGTAGAGTTTGGACACAACACAGCAACCAGGTGGTATCGCATATGCTGAGATATTTGCTCATGTACCTTGTTGAGGGTAACCAAGCAGCTTGGTGGATCCGGAATTGAAGTCCAGATTGATGGATCGATGGTAGGCAGGCGGTCTTTCGGTCATATATTTATCAATGAATCGATCGGGGTACCCGTTCTGACGGTGGCGACTGTGGACAACCCTAAGTTCTTCCTCAACGCTACCATTCGAGTAGATCCTTTTTAATCTTTGTTTCAAAACGCACACTGGAACACGCTTCACGTTCGATGGTACGTAATTCCAAAGCGGGTTGTATTAGCCGTTAAACGCTAGGTCGAATACTACTGTCAGGCGTTCTACTTAAAAGTTCACCCAGAAAGGGGGAGTGGTCTGAATTTATCTTCTTACAGAGTAAATTTGATTGATGGATGTGCCTAAGTTATTTCGTCCAGTAGATCCGAGACGTCGTGTTTTCAAGAGCAACTGCGAATATATCATTCATGGGGTGCCCATATTACCTCAAACCGTTGATCTGGCAAGGAAACCCAAGAGCTTATAGCTTAAAAAAGAATGCATTATCTAAAAGGACATCAAGGAATGAGCCCATAGCGTCTCCGTCCGTCTGTCTACATAGATTGTTGTCAAATTGAAACTACACGTTGAAAGTACATCGCAATAATATTCCCTTGAGAGCGGCCATCTGCACTCCGATATCCTGATGAAAAGAGACAATGTATTCGTAGGATTGGACGACTTGGTGCAACATATTTGCGAATCTTTAGCTACCCTTATAATTGAGATATGTGTGTACAGACGAGTCAGAGATGCTTGAGGTTGTGTTCACTTTTGAAGCCATTCGCTTGAAGTCCTCTCAAGCTACGACCTCATCGGCTCAACACTTCTTCTATTCTGCCTTCGGAGTTCTTCTTTGTCCGACAAGACTGACTGTAGTTTTTTTAGTCTAATCGACCCCGTCCATCAAACCAACACCACTTTCCTTATCTGGCCTCGTTTCGAGGATATTTGTTTTTACTGGGATTTGCTTTAAATGCATAATGTGCGAATTTTTTCGTAATCCAGAACATTTCTGGCAACCGGTGAGCAACTGATAAGAGCGGGTTACTAACGTGGACTTCAGGTGTTGCACGGGTTCCCATTGACTTACCCGCCGCGTACGCGGGTGCCGAATAGTGCAACGGCCTTCCGCGAGGGCTAACTGCGAAAGAAGTGGACCCCCGTTTGACGGGTATGCAATCGTCGACCAGCAAAAATATGTATACCTGACACCGTTGTTAGGGGCTCCAGCATCGCTGCACGTGAAAACACGTCTGTGTTTTTCCGAGTAAATCGTCTTACTCGATTTTCTTTTGCGTTCGGCGACGCGCATCCCGAGTAATTAACCCTTTTCCAGTATGTCCGTATTGTTTGTAACCACACCAGATCCGGTAAACGATTGCGGACGTTTTTTACCCTGACAATGAAACTCCCATTTTCAGGGCTTGGCTCATGATGGTAACCTCCGGTTCCTGTATAACTTCCAACTCCGTGTGACGTGTAAGGACGTTTGAAAAATTCCGAAACGCTTCTGGTCTGCGTTTACATCTCCTAACATCATGGAAAGATGAAAATTGGCCTACGGTTAGCAACATTGCACGGATAAGTGTTCGCCCAGGGCAACTTTGTTTACCTGCTCAATAGAATGCGTCTCGACAACCAGACTGTGTGTCCTTGCTCACACACATATGCTCACACCCTTAAAAAGACCACGTGCTATATCCGCTGGACCAACTTCGGAGGTAGGTTGTGGTTCGTTAGACGTTATCGGGAAAGCACGACCATAATAAAATGCAAAGAAGAAGACTCGGTGGCATGCCCAGGTGCGTGCTCATCAGTATCAGTATCAGTATATTTCAGGGAAAGTAGGTGTGTACCTTTGAAATCCCTATTGGTTACATGCAGAGGATATATATGGAGGAAATGGAAAGGAAGTAACATGAAAGAAATGCGAGGGGAATAGCAAAAACTGTACAGATGAACACAGAATGTCATGCGTTAACAGAGTTTAGAGGCACATTAACTTGCTTTGTTGATCAAAATACAGCGGACAGTTGAGGCACACTTAAGATACGGGAAAAGAAGTAAAATTGTTTAGTCTACAGGCATCGTGGTGAATGCGAACAGCAGTGTGCGACGTGGCCCAAGATTAATAATTACATAAACATACATTACTTAAATGTTGGTAGTAGCATCGTTATAACACTAAATTGCCCGCGTTGGTTGTCAAGGTGGCCGTAGTCCGGCGTTATTGTGGTGCGCGCTACAATGCTGATCTAATCTCCATTTAAAAGTATCTACCTAGTCCCTCTTTTTCTGGTTCTATAAAATCACTGTGGACCAGGGGGTGTGGAGGTACACCTAGGTGTAGATTGTCAACGCGTAAGCCGCCTGTGTCCTCTCGCGCCTCTAGTCAGCGTGACTTTGTCACGCCACCGGGCTCATATGGGGTGAAAAATGGAGTGCGGTAAACTTCGTGCGAGAATTCACTTGCACGTCACCGTCCCTACTGTTGCTTTGCTGTAGGCATTATCAGAAACGAAGTGGAAATGTCGTGTGTCTGTGGTTGATCGGGTAATCGCTGTTCAAGCCAAGTGCTTGTGCTACACTTGCTTTTTGACAAACAGCTCAGGCTACAGGCCACTGCAGTCGGGAATATGTGAAACGATGGGCCAGAGGTTAAGGTTCTTGTTGAAATCAGAGAGGTCACTTATGATAAATTCTTTTCAATTACTTTGCCAAACGCATCGTGTCGTGTTTTTAAACAGGTCATGAAGTAATCAGTGTATGTGCATGCAGAAGGACAGGGAACGCAGAGCGTCTGAGTGATATGCGACATCTTCAACGACGTTTTTTTTTAAAGAAACACCATTGAAAAACGCGGTATTCTTAGGTTTTCCTCTGCATGAGCTTTATTCTTTATATTTTGGGAGATAAACGTTAATACGACGTCATAGGCACCATTGTGGTTTTCACAATGTCACCACGAATAGACGTTAACCGGTGATGTGGGTTTGCGAGGGTTGATTATTAATTGCGATTCTGACAATTAAGTTTCCCACTGTCCGTTACCGTCTCCGTGCTTACGTTCCTGTGACGCAGGTAGTAGACATCGTCGGTCCTTGCTGTCGGAATGTCGGCTGCCCACCACTTTTTGCACGATATAAACTCAAATTTACGAAAGTCATATTATATAACTGAACTCGGGACACAGCAAATGGTACTGCATGCAGCGAGTACACGGTTTTCCTTAGAAGCACAATGAAACCTACAGGCGAGATTTGGATTAAACGAAGGAGGTGGTCTCGGACACGAACCGTGTTAGTAGAAGCTAAATAGACAATGGTAAAGTCATGCATCCCTGGACATGCTTGATAGTCTGATTCAAATCGCGTCGGTTAAAATACCAGGGGCAATATACTTAAAGCAATCGATCATTGTATTCCCCGGAAAGCAACACAAGGATTAAGAAATTGAAGCTTAATCAGCAATTACTCTAACGATCCACAGGGAACCCCGACAGAACTTTCTTTGGAACGACCATACCCCTTCGTATCAATTCTCTGCCAACAGCACCGCGGGACACTCCTGATCTAAGAGCGGCTGAGTCGTTTGCTATTTGATTCATATTCTTGGCTTAGTTAAAAAGCTTCTCCTACACTTTTAAATACTTCGTCCCGTACCTGGAATACCTTGCGCATCCTTCGAATTAATAATGGGAGTCGACAAAACACCATCAGGCCAATGTGCAAAAAACTCGCCCCAAGGGGGGTGAGCAGCGTGATCACCACTACACTATCGGCGCACGGTGAACGGACTGAAATAAATAGAGGAGTAAACATTATTCGTAGTACAAATGACTGCAACTCTGTATATATCGCTGTCAAGTCACCTCCCGCTAAACGAGCAAGGAGTCTAGTAAGCTGTATGGATATCAAATACGAAGACGAAGCCTGTACGACATGTTTCGGACTCCTTCAAAAATTTGCGGAAATGGAGAAGGAGATAAAGGGCCTTAAAGTGGAGATGGAGAAGCTGAGGAATCACCCTCGCTATTCATCCAAAGAGAATGAAAGCGAGCGAACATACGCAAACACGGCTTCCTCGGCTGTGTCGACGGAGGAGAAAGAAAATAGTAGGTCGCTAGAGCTTGATACGAATGACACCCAGTGTCTTGTGCGAAAAAAGCGCGGTCAGACGCGATCTCAGCGAACAAAAAGAAATATCAAGGTACCTCGAAAAGGCACAGAGAGTCATACAAGGGAGCAAGAGTTGGCTACGCCGCAGACGAAAATCGCGCCGCTGAAAACGAAAAATGGTCAAAAGATCGTAGTAAACAGACAGTCATGCGTTAGTCCTGCTGAATCAAACCTTCCTAAATCGGTGGATGGTTGTAGCCGGGATGCACGCGATGAAGACTCTGCAGGTATGATTATACCACAACGGCATGTCTGAGTCTGTTTCCGACGCTCCAAAGGACAGAATACAGCATGGCATAGAAATATTCCAGGAATATCTCAAATCGATCTTAGTAGGAGACGAGAAAGTCACAGTAATAAAGGTTTCCAGGATAGGCAAAATTAAAGACTTAAAACAAGATCCAGACCGACCGAGACCGTTAAAAATTGTCTTTAAGAATGACGAACAAGCGCAGCTACTTTTGAGCAGGAAAGCTGCGCTTAAACATGCCCAACCATCAGTTTTCTTCAGCGGGACTTTTCACCCGCGGAGCGAGAAAAATGGAGGGGGGCTCAAATTGGAAGTCCTCAGGCGGTCGAGTCTGGGCGAGACAAATCTCAGAATAGTGGACGGAACAATTATACGCGTCCAGAGGCCATTCCTCTGGAGAAAGCCCATAACTCTAACAGCTTAGGAGTGATGGAAAGCAGTTCATCCCGATCAGCTCTGACCGGCTTTTGCATTCAATCCCAAGAAATGGATAAACGACTGTATGCCGGAGTTGCTCGTGCCAAATTGAGATTTTTGTATACCAATGCTCGAAGCCTCGTTTCGAAAATCGACGAACTCAAAGCGATAGTACCGGAACGAATCCCCGACGTCATCGCCATAACGGAAACTTGGCTTAATGCCGAGATTTCGATACCGGGTTATCAGCTGTTTCGTAGAGACCGTTAAAATAGGCAGGGCGGAGGGGTAGTCGTATATGTAAGGGAAGGAATTTCAGCAGTTGAAAGAGCCCACACCCTCTCCCTTGAATATGAATCCGTCTGGATAAAGATAAAGAAGAGCAATACACAAAACCTAGAATTTCTGGCGATTTACAGACCACCAAACCTTCTGAGTGCAGCTGATGAGTCGCATCTTGGTTTAGTCAAAGACGTAGCTAGCCAGCAAGAGGTACTTATTGCTGGGGATTTCAACGCACCTGCAATAGAGTGGGAAACTATGGCAGTTAACGGCGGACCAGCCTCTTTCAGCAATAAGCTACTGGACCTCACACTCAGTCTCCCTCTGGCGCAACATGTAAAGGTACCAACAAGAGTTCGAGAGAACCAGAGCGCGAATTGTCAAGACCTAGTTTTCACTAAAGACTTCTCTAATATCGACGAAGTGTATTCCAATGCACCTCTCGGGAAAAGTGACCATACTACGCTACTATGGGATTACTCGCTCTTCTCTAAACGCCAGAAGAAGAGAACAGAGGGCCAACCTAATATATGGAAGGCAGATTTTAATATAATGAAGAACGAATTGCTGTCCGTGAATTGGGACCAATTACTCAGGGAAGATCTGGAGGACGACTGGAGATCTTTTAAGACGATTTCACTCTATCTGATTAGGCGCTGTTGTCCACCTTAAGTACAAAAAACAACTAGTCGACCTGCTTGGTTCACTAGGGACCTAAATAAGCAGCTACGGAAGAAAAGCAAAAGATGGAAAATATTCAGGGAAACTGCGTCACCAGCGCATTTCGAAGAGTTTCGTCGTCAACGAAATGCCGTCAAAAATGTATCCGTCAGGCACGGAAGGACTATGAATCCACAATTATCCGACAGGCTGAACAGAAACCTAAGATTTTATTTCACTATCTTAACAGTAGACTGAAAAATAAGGACCCGGTCGCGCTGCTGAAGGATGGAAATGGTGTAGAGATCACTGAGAACAGCGAGAAAGCCGAACACTTAGGATAGTATTTTGCCTCGGTTTTTACTAGAGAAACAGAGTTTCGCAGTCGAAGTGCTAGCAATGCTGTTGAGACTGCTGATCGCGTGCTTGACTCCATACTCTTCCCGACTGCTGTCGTGGAAAAAGAGCTGAAAAATCTCAAAGAAGCAAAGTCCTCGGGTCCGGACAATATACTGGCCAAATTCTTGAAGGAACTGGCGTATGAACTCTCCAAACCACTGGCGCACATCTTCCGCTCGTCATTCGAATTAGGGAGGCTGCCATCGGAATGGAAGACAGCAAATATCTTTCCGATATACAAGGGCGGGGCCCGCACTAATGCTAACAATTACCGGACTGTTAGTCTAACCTGCATCTGCTGTAAAATAATGGAGGCCATAGTTAAGAAAGCAACTATGGAATTCCTGGAGCTGGGCCATTTAATCTCAGACCTGCAGCACGGCTTCAGACAGAACCGCTCGTGCCTTTCCAGTTTATTGCTCTCGACGGAGCAGTGGACTCGCGCACTGGACGAGGATGGGAGGGTCGATGTCATATACATAGACTTCAAGAAGGCGTTCGACAGCGTCCCACACAAACGCCTAATCTACAAACTTTCTGAAATTGGGATAAGAGGAAGGCTGCTGACATGGATAACAGATTTTCTTACCGGGAGATCGCAAACCGTGTGCATTGAGGCCTCAAGGTCAACTCCTACCCCCGTTCTAAGTGGTGTACCCCAGGGCTCCGTCTTAGGGCCGTTGCTATTCCTGGTTTACATTTACGACTGCGTCGACGACCTGGGATGCAGCGCCATCATGTTTGCTGACGATGTTAAGCTGTGGAGGCCCATCCGATCTGATGCAGACAGGTACGCGCTTCAAGACAGTCTCAACCGCCTGAACAGTTGGTCAGCTCGCTGGCTCTTTAATGTTAATGTGGACAGATGTGTGGTCCTGAGACTCCGCACCAGACCGACCAGTAAGGAGGACGATTCCTTTCAATACGTCCTTGGTGGTCAGCCCCTTTCAAATGTTGTGGAACAGAAAGACCTGGGCGTCGAAATGACCTCCTCGCTGAAACCATCTTCACAGTGTCAAAGGGCAGCCAGAAGTGCGATAAGGATGTTATTTGCGATGAGGCGAGAATTTGTGCAGATCGACAAGGAGCTGTTCGGAAAAACCTATGGGACATTCGTCCGGTCTAACCTAGAGTATGCAGTCCAGGCCTGGCGACCGTGGTTGAAGAAAGATTATCAACGACTGGAAAGAGTACAGGCGATGGCTACGAAGATGGTCAAGAATCTTCAACATTTGCCTTACGAAACCAGGCTGACCGAGCTAAATCTATTTCCTCTAAATTACAGGCAACTGCGCGGCGATCTCATTCAAACCTACAGGATTGTCAGAAGCCGTGAGTGTGCCCTAGACTTTGATGAATTCTTTGAATTGGCCCGGACTGACCGTCTGCGGGGTCATCCCTTCAAACTGCAGAGGAAGCTGGCTCATTCGGCCGTCCGACGGAACGCCTTCTCTCACAGGGTCATCGGGCCATGGAATGGACTGCCTGATGTCGTCGTTCTTTCCGAAAGTGTCAAATCCTTTAAGTGCAGATTAGACGCTCATTTGATGGGAAACTACTCTACATATAATAATGATTGTTTTAGTGGCGGCAGTTTGCGCCTAGCTCACACTTACCGCTAACTTCTTAACTTTTCGCATTTGCTGATGTAATTGATGACTTCATTTCTGTTTATCGATATCAATAGTGAGCTCAAGGACGAAAGCCTCATTCCCTTAATAAACTGACTTAAACTGACTTAAGACTCATACTCTGCAGAAGAATCCAAATTATCCGATTCAGGGCTTATGTCATTTGACGCAGTGGGTTGACGAAACATACAGTAGGTTTACTTTGGGGTAAAGGGATTCGATCCTAACAGCACAGATGGTGGATAAAAGCCCACACGAGCCTCTTTCGCCGATTTTCTGCCGCTGCATGATACAGCTGCGAGAGGTTTGGTTCGTCTGTTGGTCCCACAGCATTCCCTGACTGCTTTCTGGTAGATATTCTAATTAAGAAACCGTTGCTTTTTAATTTCTTTAGAAATTAACTGCGAAATTGGCGTAGATCAGTATTTTTAAGGTGTATAGGCTTATAACATAGCTTTTATGTATGAATATTTGCGCCGAAGTCCATCAGCCACAACGGATAACCGCCAATATTAATTATCAGGCACTGTGCTGGTAGGATGGAATCACTTTACGCTTAAGTATACTACTAGCTGCCCGTCGGCAGGTGATGAATACTACGTGGTTTTCCGCTGTGGCTGATGGACTTCGGTCCAAATAGTCATACATAAACGTTTGGTCTGAGCCTAAAGACCTTAAATATCCTGTTCTACTCCATGTTCACAGTTAATTTCTAAGGAAATTGAAAAGCGAGAATACAGAGAGTTTGTTCACCCTTGAGGTATTGACCAAAATTCTGAAAAGTGTGTTTAATTTAGAAAAATTGCTTAATAAGGGCCAGCACATTAAACACCATTTGGCGTAATGTCAACGTTATTTGGTCACGTCAAAATGCCGGCCTTCGACACAGCTCTTTTAGGGGCTTCCTGCAAACCTTCACTTTATGAAACATGGTTACTTATACAGTTGACATTATTTATAATAATTTGTGATGCTCCTTTAGATTCTAATATAATTCAAGGAGAACATGCACGAAATTATTATTTTTATGCACATTTATTAGCAGGCGACGTTTACTTAAACTATTAGTTTCGTTTGAATGTAGGATTTTGCAATTTGCAAATAATCTTGGGTCTGGCCCGCTAAAGCATTTTCGCACTACAAGTGCAGGAGATTTAAGCAAATATCTATAGACACTTTAAAGGACATGTTGAATATCAAACATCTTAGATATCACCCCTGACTAAGAGCTACAACCTGTTTTTGAACCATATCATTCTCACGTCAATTATCCGCAAATAGAACCCTAAGTAAAAAAAGTATCTGACAGGCAACATTTTTGGTGTCTTGACACTTCAAACGAAAGCTGGTTTACTGAAAGTTAGGGCATCTTTTGACCTGCGCTTACAAGGGGTTATCTCTTTGTTATGCGCGGTTGTGATGATTTGCGCATTCTTTCTGGCGGTTCACCTACAAAGGGATAATTTATGACCTACACAACAGTAGTGCAATTATTAAGCAAGATTATGAGGGCTTAGACGAAATACAAAAAGAGGCGTGTTTAATTAGGCTGAATTATTTCAGCAGGCTTACTATATTGACTAACATAAAGCATAATACCAAGGTATTTCAGTCACGCCAGAAGACCATACTTTGTAGTAACTGCACTCGGTAAAACATGGCGTACTATGTATTATACCTTTGTTCCATTAGTTTTTGATGTTTAGACGTACAAAAGTACGTTCTTGCGCTCCTCTTACAACAAATCACGTCCTAGTCAAATACGTATTTTTGGGTAAAGAGCAAATTTCAGTTTTAAAACTGTTAACCAGTTTCCCAATAGTTTTGAGCCCGAAATGCATTTGCATTTTGGTTTAGGGAACTGAGGCCATGAAGAGAAATGACGTGCAAAGTCAGGAACCGAAAGACCATTTGCCTCTACACACTGCTAATTAAACAGAAAAATGTCAGTCACTATTATCGAACGCATGTATTTTAAACTTCGCTTAGTCTCTCTCTTGAGGAGTACCAACCAGTCTATCAACTACAGCTTAGAGGATGGACTCGTTCCAAAGAAACAGTTTTGATGCCCGTTTAGATGTGGAAACACTGATTTAGTTAACATAGGCTATCTACCATAGGAAACGTACCATGAAATGAGAAAGAGACCACTTCCGCTAATCTTACGGGGCCTGGGCAATAACGAAGAAATTTTTATGGCCCTTATAACTCACGTCGTAGTCAAATAACTTCATGAGTCTCGGATGAGACGCTTGACAGAGAACATATGAGAATCGAAATTGTAAATGCCAGCAAATGGATTGCACACGTCTTCTAGAAGCCTAGTAAACGGCCACAAAGTGGACCGATCAGAAATTAAAAGCAAGTATTGTGTCTAAGCTAAACTATCGAAATTCATCGCATGTGGGCTACCACATAAACCTCCTAGTCTAAGGTATACGACCACTTTTTACGGCTAGCTTTGTGGTAAGTACCCCAAATGCAGTTAATATGCAGTCAAGGCCGCGTATTCTATGTCTTCAGATGCATCAAATTCGGACTAGCCACGAACAGGTAGAAGTGAATTTTCGTAACCTACCCGACGCCAACTGTCGACTGTTCCGAACCCGCTCTTGTTATTAATGACGCAAAGTAACACTAAAGGCACCAGGAAAGCCCAAGAAAACATGTCATCAAAATAAACGATAAACCTGTAGCCCAATCTTATAAAGTCAGTCTGGCTGTTGACAGACTTCAACATTGAGTCTGGAATCCATGTGGAGTCAACTTAAACACGAAACTGCGTATGTGCACGGCTATCAATTTGAAAACACACAACCTATCAAATTCAAGTTCCACTGACTTGTAGGAAAATATGTTAGCTATGAAATTTTGTAAAAGCACTCATTAAGAAACTGAGTTAGCAGGTTGGTGAAGGACAAGTGATGACGCATGTTTCCAAACGGCCTGCTAAATGCAGTCGCTCCCATTCAAGATGCTGCTGGTAGTGCCTGCTACAGTCTTTAATGTAATTCAGTATAATTCAGTATATATGATGGATAGAGGCAGAGCCTTGGAAAACCCTATTGACAGATAGACGTATGAAAAAAACATGCAGATGTTTACATAGCAGTTATGCCAGTCATTGATATCATGTAAATGTTTGACCATCAAGCATAAGTTTATCTAGTCTTCTTTTGAAAGTCTCGACGTTTTCCGCCAAGACAATGGAGTTCGGCAATTTGTTCCATCCCTCAACCAGCCGGTGAGAGAAGAATTTTGCCCGCAAATGTAAAAAGACGCAAATTCGAAATTATAATTCTCAGACGTCTCGAAGGTTAATAACAATCCGCCGTCATCGATACCGTTAACATGGCATTGCACCAAATCCATCAGCGTTTACGGATGCATTAACAGACTTCCACACATGGTTTGTTTGTTAGAGAGTGCGGGGAGGCAGGCAGCATCGATGTGACTGTCAGTCTCTTTGTCAGCGCTACAGAGTATATTACAATTCATCGCTCCGTACTCCATCGCTTTCCGCCAGGCTTATTGAGGGACTGTAGAAATTAAATTCGCCTTCCTGCATTCAACCAAAAATGCTACTTTATGAGCCTTTTTCCGGCGCCAACGCTAAAAATGTTAGTGCGTATACAGCTAGTGACCAAACTCATGAAATGTGTCGACATTTGCGAGTGATTGCCAATCACTCGCAAACCGACACCATTTCATGAGTCTAATGTCTATGTGAATTAAGTACAAGTTTAAAAGAATTAGAAACATAAAAGAAATAGTAAATGCAGTGTTACGTTGTTTAGAAATGTCGATTTATTTTGAAAAGCGCAATATACCGAAAACATCAGAAATCGTTGTAATTCAGTAAACTTCGTTTAAAGATGTACAGAATGTATTCTCATACCAAAAACGTAGTAAATATGAAAGTAGTCATAAAAAACGTCTAATAATAGTGCTTTAGTGAAGCATACATCTAAACATCGTTAAATAAGTAGTGTGATTTCATATATGGCGGTTTGTCAACTGCCTACATTATGAGTGTAGATTTCAAAACAGTTTTCCACTGACTAGTATTGTTTTTGTCTTGTTTGAAGTAAATGAGATGGCATTTAACGAGAGAAGCTGGATTTTGCTTCCTTTCACCGATGGGGACCTCGCAGAAACAAATGTTTTCATAAGGCGACATGCCATGAAGCCGGTCGGCGCCTAAAAGAATTGACAGGCGTGATCTTAAACATACAATTTTGTGTTTATAGAAAGAACTTTTCTTCCGTTAAATTAATTTACACTTTTTGCTCGTTTTGGATTACGTTCAGTTTCAGAGCGTCCTCGAAATTTTGCTGAACACTTCAGGATTTTCATGTTTTTCACTCGATCGTCCTTAAACGCAGATTCTGAATAAACTGTCAGTTGAGAACTTTAAATAAGATTTTTCTCAAAAGAATTTACCGAATTAGTGAGGGTTGGGCGCTCTTTTTCACGGAAGTGACTGTTGGTAACAATCGGGAGAGGGCACCCAAATATCCGTTGCCTAGAAATAATACTTGCTATAGCTATTTGAGCAGCTTATGGCCCTACTTAATTGTTGTTTCATCCGACCTCAATTTGATCTGATCTGCAGTGCACATGTTGCCTCACTTAGATTATCATAGTCTCCAACAGTTGAGATGCGACTGCTGCAGACCGAGCCATGGTTAATCAACCTTGACCTAGGCGTACACGACTGAAGAGTGACAACAGTGGTGGTGTTGCGGCTAAATCTACCCTTGCATACCTTAGGAGAGTTGAGAAACGATCGCTGTATACCGACCATTGGTTTGCCATCCTTCACATATGCATGCTTAGGTCACGAGCGACGGCAATAGTCGGAGAATAGTTGGAGAATAATCGCTTTAGACCCATCCTATGTTTACCAACCTTGACATTAGCTTCCACAGCTGAAGAGCGAGAGCATTTGTCGATATGCGGATTAGTCTATGGTAGTATACGTTCAAAAA